GCAAGGTTGGCACTAAAATATACCAAAGTGTCGATCACATCAAGCAAGCGCTTCGCCGGGCTTCGGCCAAATAATCGCAGAGCAACATTCGGACAGCGTGTGACGGTTTCATTGGCCGTTTGAAGGCCATAATTCGTGCCAAAGGTGACCAATTCGTACAAATCTAAAGTTATTCTAAAATTTGATGCTATTTCCGACATTTTTTGCTTTCATTCAATAACATTTAAAAATGTAAAAATTATGGCGTTTGACTTTGTTGCAGTTTTTTTATCTCACCCTGTGTTGTATATCTCCCATATAACGGAAAATCCCTTTATTCGGTATTTGTTGATTATAGCAACATGATTCACCGGAATTGTTTCAAATTTGATAATTGAAGTTCGGAATTGGTACTACAGCCTACGACACAAAATTATGCAGGTTCACATCTTCGTATAACCCCCATATAACGGTTTTCATTTAAATAGCATTTTTCGACGGCTTTTGTTAAAATTTTCGAGATCTTCCAAAATGGTGGAGGGTATTAAAAGTCTGGCCCGGCCGAACTTAGCTTCTTTTTTACTTGTTTTTGTTTTTTTTTTACTTGAACTTAAAGCTATCTCCACTTACAATCCTTGGCATTCACTTCCTTTTTACATTCATCGGCTTTCGCTTTGAGGACAGCCATAGCCTGATTTCTGTCTAAATCAGCTTTTACAACAGTTGTAGCTGCCAAGAGGGAAAGTACAGCTAAGGCGACAATTAAAAATACTTTAGCCATTGTTTTTCTTCTTCTCGAATTTGAATCAACACCCGATAGATAGTTCTCCAATTTATTCAAAATAAATGTTAATTTGTTGAATGTTAATTGTGAAGTGATACAAATTTTGAATCGAATCGAAAGTATTTATACAATGTACACGTACTCCATTTTTGGACAAAGCGCTTTAATGATCGCCGACTATGACGTTCATTTTGGAAACTCATCACATTGCATTAATATTTCGCTTTTCATTTAGAGTTTTTTTTTTGGTTCTAATTGATAACGGCATTGTTTCGTGTTCTCAATTACTCGCATTGTTCATTGGCAAAGTTAAAGTTTAAGCGCAACAAAAAGCTAATCGACAATCTTTTGTCATCTCAAAATTAAAAGATAATAAAAACGTGGCTTATTGACTAAATTTGACCGTGATGTTTGAACGGATGTTACCATTGCTAGCTTTTCAGATAATTCGAAACTCTTCTGGTTCGTTATATTAATTTCAAATAAATTTCTTTTGACGATAAGAAATTGTGAATGATCTCGGGTTATATAACCAACCTATTTTATTTATATTTTGTTATGAGGAGCAGAAAAATACCAAATACCAAAATTATCTACAATCGGTAGATGTGTCAACATATTGACCCACATTGAAAAATGTCTAAGGGACGAATATAAATTCAATGAGAAGCCAATTTACAACGTTGATGAAAACGTTGACCTATATTCCGCCACTGGAGCTAAAACCCATTATGACCTGCTAATACCAATTTGTAGAAAAATCCGTAGAAAAAAGTGGCGAAAATCATCAAAATACCCAATATCGGGAGGTACCGTTATATGGCGACTATACCAAAACGTGGACCGATATATCTCATTTTCAATACCAACCATCCTAGACCCAATACAAATTGTTGAAGCTATGCGTCAAATAATGTGGACTGTATCGTGATTTCAACAGACAGACGAACATTGTTAAATCGTTTATGGGGGTCTACGACGAATATTTAGAGATGTTACAAACGGAATGATAAAGTTAATATACCCTCCTTTTCAAGGTGGAGGGTATAACAATATTGTTTTATCCTAAATGTGATTAATCTTTTGTCGGTTAGCGGCTAAAATATGACTATTTTGGTAAATGAATTTGAAAAAGTTTTAAATTGTTTAGATACACACATACATACACAAACAATGTATAAGTTTTTGAAATAATAATAGGGACACCAAAAGAAAACAAGTAAAATGCTGTTAAGTTCGGCCAGGCCGAACTTCTTATACCATCATTTGGAAGAAACTTGAAACATTTCAAAAAATACAGCTCAAATGAAACCCGTTATATGGCGGCTATACATCGACGTGGTCCTGCATAAATAATTTTTGTTATAGGCTGTAGTAACGGTTCCGAACTTCAAACAATTCTGGTGAATAATGTCGCAAAAATCATGAAAATATCGAATATCTGGGGATACCAATATATAGCGCTATACTAAAACGTGGACCTATGTAGACAATTCGCTTCAATGGGGTAAAGTACTTAGAAGCAACCCCTTGTGTGGATTCCAAGACAATTCCATTCTGAAATCATCAAAATACCGAATATCGGGGGTACCGTTATTTGGGGGCTATACGATATTGTGGACCTATACACACAAATCCCTTCTAGGAAATAAAGTACACACAAGAAAATCCTTTTGTGGATTTTAAGACGATTCCTTTGAAAAATTTGGCTGAAATCATCAAATTACCGAATATCAGGGAGAATACAATATTGTGGATTGTGGGGGATATACAATATTGTGGAGCAATATAGTCAATTCTCTTTCAGGGGGTAAAGTACACACAAAGAACTTCTTGTGTAGAATTTCAGACAATTCCATTGAAAAATGTGGCTGAAATCATCAAAATATCGAATATGGGGGTCTAAAATTATTATTTCGATGAGTTACAAACGGAATGACGAACTTAATATACCCTCCATACTATGTATGGTGGAGGGTATAAAAATGTATTTAGAAATCAGTTATGTTCTACCTTATGTTATTGTGCCATGTTTGAACCTTTAAGACTAATCTGATTTGGAAAATACCCAAAATACTTAAAACCCTTCAAATCTGAAGGTTCCAAATAGTCTATATAAAATATGTCCGTAAATATGTTAGGCAAGTTATCCCAAAGAATTTATTTTCAAAAATTTTCCTTTTTCATCATTGCCTCACAGTCATATTTTTGTACAAAAATAAAAACACAAAAAGACTTACCGGACTTTTTTTCCATTGTCCTCGCCCCTCTCTCCGGCAATCATAGAATTGTGGTCTTTGACAAATTGTCTTGTATGAATGCCAGAGGCAAGTACAAAAGAGAACAATAAATATTGCGGCAAGTAAACTCGCCTAGCATTCTTTAATATTTTATAAACCAAAGAAAAGGGTAATACCACAACGGTCAATCATCTAAGACATAATTTATATTTTTTTTGTCAAATTTTAAAGATCTACATAAAATGATATTGTCTCTACTTCGAGTTCAGCAGACGGGCAAAACAGGCAAAGATGCATCGACTTAAACCTTATTTACACCAAACATGTGTTCGTAACCAGATGACGAATATTCTTGGGATGGGTAATTAAGGTGTCTATGTAACGCAGACTTTTGAATTGTACGCTGATAAGTTTGTTACGCAAATAGGGATTAACATAACCCCGTGTGGACGGGATGATTTATTGCCCGATGCGAGTTGCGCCAAAGAAAACTAAGGTATAACGAATTTGTTCAATAATTTACTCATGCCATTGCTTTGCACAGATCCCACTCCTTTAAGTTTCAATTTACTTAGCACACAGATTTTCACTACCTCTTTACTAACCGACGTGATATACAAATAAAAGTATAGACTAACCAGTAAAGAAAGTCTTGAAGTCGGCCGGGGCCGACTTTATGATACCCTATACCAATTTGCTAATTTAGTAGAGCTGCACATAACAATTAAAAGTTTTTATGGGAGAATTCAATCATACACGCTATGATTATAATTATAATTTAAAGTTCAAAGGACTAAATATGCCGAAGCATTTGTATCTTTTAAACTCGGACTTGTGTTGCCTATTTGGTGCACAAATAATTTAAAATCGAATAAAAATATATATAAGAGCTATATCCAAATCTGAACCGATCTCGATAACATTTGGCAAAGATATTTCTGAGTTGTATTTGATATATTTCCCTGAATATCGTTGTTACGAAGTGCATATTACGGCTGTGGGTAAAAAAATATAACAAATGAACAGTATATGTGGGAGCTATAGCTATATCTAAACCGATCTTCACCAAATTTGACATACTGGCTTCTAGATTCAATTCGGTCGTAAGTGAGGTAAATCGGACGAAGTTATATATGGGAGCTATATCCAAATCTGAACCGATCTCAATAAAATTAAGCAAATGTATTTCTGAGCTGTATTTGATATATTTCCCCAAATATTATTGTTACAGAGTGCATATTACGGTTGCGGAGGACAAAAATAACAAATCGGATGTACAATATATATGGGAGCTATAGCTATATCTGAACCGATTTCGATCAAATTTGCCATACTTATTTTCAGGCCTAATTTGGTTGTATGTGCAAAATTCCATACTATTCGGACTGATATTACACGTTTGGTGCACAATAAAAGGCAAATCGGACGAAGATATATATGGGAGCTATATCTAAATTTTGACCGATTATCTCCAATTTCAATAGGGTTCGTCCTTGGGCCAAACAAATGATTTGTGCAAAATTCTGGATAGGACAATAAATGCGAACTGTACATTTTTTACAAAAATACATGGACAGACTGACGGACGGACGGACATGCATAAATCGACTCAGAATGTGATTCTATGCAGATCATCAAAAGGAACTATGGGTCTATCTCGTTTCCTTTTGCCTGTTACAAACAAATGCACAAAGACATAATACCCTGACCACCTTGTGGTGTAGGGTATAAGAAAATCCCCTATGCATTCTTACCTTATACCCTTCCAAGTGTCAAAAATGAGAAATGAGAGAATTAAAAAAGAAATTAAGTAAATAGGAATTTTTTTTCACCTTACACCTTTTCAAATCTCAAAAATGTGTAGTATTTTGAGAAAATTTAATTTTTTTAAGTAACTTGGAATTTTTTCCTTCATTTACATTTATTTTTTTTATCGAATTTTTAACAGTCGCAGAAAAAGCTAGTTATTTTAAATGTTTTTTTTTTTTTGTAAGGATTGTATTTATAGTATTGGAAAATTAGTAAAAACGCGATGTTGAGCCGTTTTCAAAACTAAACCATTATCAGTTGTTAAAATTGATAATTTTCATTGATTCCATGAGCGCTAGCCTGTTGTTTGAAACATTTGCCATAATCTTCAGCTGCCTGACAATGATCGGACGAAACTTCAATGCCAGCACAAGCGTTAATGATTTCCGAAGCAACTTTCATTTTATCAGCAGCACCATCGGTAACTTTTTCGGCATGTTTTAGAGCAACATCAGTAACAAATTTTCCCGAAGCGTCCATCTAAAAGAAAAGTAGTAGTACATGACACATGATTTACATACAGAAAAGGAAAACTTAAATAAATTACTTACCACTTCGAACTTTTTCATTAGACAGGCACGCAAACATTTTCCTTCCATTGTTGAGGCTGGCTTTCTTCCCACCAATTCCTCTATATCGGCTGTAGGGGAATAAATTAATTCTTAATATTTGTGCATTTCTTTTCAACATAATTGTTATTAATGCTTATTTAAATAAAACATTTAAAATTACAAAATGTAAATGGATTCAATGCTCACCATCCGTTGCACCAACTTCGGTTTTACATTCTCCGGCTTTCATTTTAAGTTTTTCATGGGCTGCTTGCCTATCGAATTCTCCACGAACAACAACAGCTGCAACAATGCCCATAACAAACAATACTGACAATAGTTTCGACATTTTTCTGATTTTTTGTTTCTTTTAAACGAAAAACAATTAAATGATTTAATGTTTATTCTTAAAATTTTAAATTTCAACTGCTATCCAATTGCGACTTTCCAGTTATTTATATGAAAAATGAATTATAGTTTTCATATTTTTTATCAAATTATCCAATTGAAAACTACTCATCTGTGAAATTATGGGTTCCGATCTTCAAAATACTTCAAAATGAAGGTAACCTTTTAGTTTTTGGACTTTTAGATGTCATCTGAAAATTGAAATTTGACTGTGATATTTTATTTTGAATTTCCTATTTGATATGTGCACGCAGAAAAAAAAAAAACGGAGCACCATCTAGATGTCATAGAACCGTTTGTTATTGAATTTGTTTTACAATGCTAGACGCGGACCTCTCAAAATACTTATTTTTCTTCCATTTTTTGTACATTTTACATGGAAAGTTTAATTTTAGTCGAATGAAACATATTCCTATATTGAAGCTATAATTTAATCGAATTTCACGAAATTTGACGAAATTGCTTCTAGACTGAATACGGTAGTATGTGCCATAATCTATCATATTTTAGCTGATGATACACTTATGGTTCACAATAAGGGTGAAAATAAAAAAAATTGTAAAAGCTCGAAATAGAACAAGATTTTGCTTCACGGTATAATTATTACAGGTTGCAGCAAATCCAATCTGATTTGACTCTATAGTAATACTAGTGTCAAATTCGATATAACGTTTTATGATTTAACTAGCTGAACCAGGTGCGCTTCGCTACTTTTTTATTTTGACTTTTGATTTTATATGCATTCAAAATTTTATTTATGTTAGATAAAAAAAATTAAAAATGAAAAAAAAAAAATATTGCATTAATTTAATGCGTTAATAAACAAAACCATTAGAAAAGCAGTAACATGACATGCATACACGAAGAGTTTGTCCTTCGGAGTTATTTATTCCATAGTAAATACCAAACTGCAATTTGCAGGAAACTCCATTGTGCAGGAAACTGTAATTTTTTGAAGTTGAGTGGCATTTTTATTGCAATTAGTGAATTCAAGGTAGCAACATACTTCCCCGAAATAAGCGTATTTCAAATTAATTTTTGTGTTTTTTTTAGTTTTAGCCTAAGGCCCCACCTTTCATTTTTCATTGAAATTGGTGCGTCTAATATGTGAAATCGGCCGCGAATATATATATGGGAGCTATATTCAAATCTTAAATAATTTCCAATTAATTTATCACATTTGTTATTATAACCAAATTCCGCCACACATTCTGAATTTCATTGGAATCGGTCATTTATATCGTGTTTGGTGCATAATATGTATGAAGTCGGCCGAAATATGTATGTATGGGAGCTATAATCAAATCTGAGCGAATCAAATTTATTTTTGTACCAAATTTAGTCACTCATGGCGAATTTCATTGGAATCGGAAATTGTACATCAAATATGTGAAATCGGCAGAAAATATATATGGGAGCTATATCCAAATCTGAACCGATTTCAATATAATTTGACAAATGTATATTCGTTTTAATTTCCGCTACACATTCCAAATTTTATTGAAATTAGAAACACATAGCGTGTTTGGTGCATCAAATACATGAAATCGGTCGAAAATATATATGGGAGCTATATCCAAACCGGAACCGATTTCAATATAATTTGATCAATTTATTTTCGGATCAAATCCCGTTAAACATTCCAAATTTCATTGGAATCGAACATTCATATCGTGTTTGAGGCATCCAATGAACGAAATCGGTCGAAAATATATATTAGAGCTATATCCAAATCTGAACCGATTTCAATATAATTTGGCAAATTTATTTTTGTTCCAAATTCCGTTACGCATTCCAAATTTGGACTGTATCTGTAATCGATCAATAGATATGTGCATACAAAATCTAAATTTTTGGGAGGTACCTCCGATTCTGATGCTATATCTCCACTTCCAAGTGGAATTTCAAAAATGTATATAGCCTATGTCACTTTCAGGCGACGTTGCAGTATACATGTACATTTTAAGGAAAATCAGTTCAGCGGTTTTCGATTCAATAAATTACAAACAAACAAACAAACATACAAACATTTTCCTCTTTTATAGATATAGAAGATTCCATTTTTAGATGTACAATAGACATACACTTTGTATACCCTACACAACTCAGAGGTAAGGGTATTATGTCTTTGTGCATTTGTTTGTAACATGGAGAAGGAAGCGAGATAGACCCATAGTCACTTTTGGGAATCTTCTTAGAATCACTTTCTGAGTCGATTTATGCACATCAGTCCGTATGTCCATGTCCATTTTTGTGAACAAAATGCAGGTCGCATTTATTATTTGATTGAGATGAAGTTATCCAAACAATATTTGTTTAGCCCAAGGACGAACTCTATTGAAATTGGTGATAATCGGATCAGATTTAGATATAGCTCCTATATATCTTCAGCCGATTTCGGTTTAATTGTGCACCAAATGGCCAATATAAGTCCAAATGACATGCATTTTGGCATATCCCACCGAATTCAGTCTAGAAGCAAGTAAATCAAATTTGATGAAAATCGGTTGAGATATGGAGCTTGGTATCGGATATGCCAAATTTTATCAAGATCGGTTCAGATTTGGATATAACTACCATATACATCTTCAACCGATTTCGAGTTAATTGTGCACCAAATGGCTAATATCATCCAAATAACATGAATTTTGGAATATCCAATCGAATTCAGTCCAGAAGCAAGTACATAAAATATGATGAATATCGGTTGATATATAGCTATAGCTCCCATATATATGTTTCATCCGATTTGGTGTTTAAGTCCCTCACATTCGTAATATGCATTCAACAACAATGATTCAATGGTACTAGATATCTTATAGAGCCCGGAAATACCTTTGCCAAATTTCTTCCTGATCGGCTAAGATGAGGATATAGCTCCCTAAATCCGATTTCAGGTTTATTGAGGAAATAATGGCTAATATCAGCCCAAATGGAGTGAATTTCGGGACGTACGTTTCCATTTTGTGCTATTTTTCTCCGATATATATATTTTTAATATAACCCTTCTCATGCACTCTATACCAATGTTATCTATCTATATATATAAAAATCAATTGTTGTTTGTTGGTAACGGAATCAGTTGAAAACGGCTAGACCGATTTGCATAATTTTTTGTACAAACGTTTGTCATACTCAGAGTTAGGTTTTTAAAGAAAAAAATATTGACCACGCCTCCATTTACGCCCACTATTTCGATTTATCTAAAATCCCAAATAAACAAGATATTGGTTTAAAAATTATTACACGAGATACTGTTGACCTTCCCTCCAACCCTAAGTATTTGTTTGGGGGCTGAGGAACTGACCACGAATACTTTTTAGTCTATCTATACATCTATATTTATAGATGAAAGTTGTGTTAGTTACTACTTTATAACTTAAGAACCGCTGAACTGATTTTAATGATTCATACAAATTCGGAATTGTCTCTTATCCGAAAAGGATAATATCCAAAAAATTTGCCTATAAATGTGATATGTTAACATTTTCATTTTGACTTTTGAAATGTACAATAGTAATGTTTTATTTTGCATGATTTTTTCCATTTTGACTTACTTTTTTCTAATGTACATTTGTAGTGTTTTTTATATTTTATTTTTGAATTCGAATATTAATACCAATTTATTTAATTGACTTGATTTCTTGAGAACTGAAATTGATGACGGGTTACATGGAAGTGTAGTACCGAATTATGTGGTGGCGAAACGGAATAGATGATACCGAAATAATTTAATGCGGTCACACCAAAGTTAAAAGAAAATTACTTTTTCAAAATCGTTAAAAAGAAACACGAAAAAAGAGATCTCATTGCAACAATTCTCAAAACGGGAAAATATCGAAAAAAAATTCCAATGGAATTGAATTTTAAAATAAAAGTACATTCTATTGACAAACTTTGTAAGGATCTTTAAAAAGTTGCTGTAAAAAATCAGCAAACAAGTTGAAGATTTTTTCTATTTGTTATTCTTCTTTTGTCAATTTTTTTCAATTTGTATTATCATATTGAATTCAGTGGATTTTTTGTGAACAAAATAAAGAATAATTTTTCACTATATACAATTTTTCACCAAAAAATATGAAATAAGTGCGAAATACGATGGTAACTGACATCTACCTTTCAACTCCAGGGCCTACATCGTGCTTCAGCTGGAAGATGCGCAGACATTTAAACAAACAAAAATGACCGAAAAAGACTAATGGGGCTTATTTCAAAGCGTGGCCCTACTTCTTTCATGTGGCAATAATCCGAATAATAATAAGAGCTCAAAATGCAAAAATTTTTGGGAGTACAATCAGTAAAATACCAAATATAAAGGGTGCAAAATAGTAGAGCGAATGGGACTTTTAGTAAGAGAAGGATTTCTATCCTTCCAAAAGTTCTTCCTGAACACTTAAGATACCTTAAATCGCTTTTGCAGGTCATGATATCGATCATAAATAACCATCGTATGATTTAAGCCATTTTTGGAGTCTTCGCCACTTTCTTCTATTTTTGGCCCTTATTTGGCATTTTTGTTTCTAAGGGGGTAGAGAACCTTTTCGCATAAAATTTTCGGAGTAGGGCCCATACTGATCTTGACCACTAAAAAATTGTATTTATGCTACCCTGGGGTAAGGAACCATCGTACAGATAATTGACACATAGAAATTTATTCATGTAAAGTCCCCACATTGGAGTATCCCCAAGTCCACTTTCACATCTAATGTGTGGTCAGAAAAGAAAATTTTGTATTCTATTGAATTTGTAACCCCCAAGAGTATATTGGTTGGGAACGTAAATTTGGGATGTACATCTATATGAAATAAATTGTGAAAACATGAACAAATTACAAATATAAGAAAGTAGCACGGGACCGAATATTTGTTGAATCGTCATTGAATTATACTATGATGAAAAATATGGACTTTATGGGGTCTCCAATTTACAATTTAAATGACAAATAAAATTAGATCCCATATTAATGGGTGTAAAATAGTATTTATATTTCACTATTCTGAAATCAGTCTGACCTCAATTATGAGGTGGATAAAAGTATTTTTACTTATCTAAATCACGTGATTTTTTTTCTGTTTGACATGCTTTGTTGTTCTGCTATATTTTC